CTGGCGAGCCTGGTCACTGCTGGCAATGAGGGCAAGAAATTTACTTACACCGCTACTGTTGCTATTATTATTCTTTTGGTAGAAACAAAGAGCAGGAAAGGAGAGGACCCCAGGCCCAGCACAGAGCCAGCTGGGTGGAGGGGACACACTCCCAGGGACCCACGGATGTGGCTGAGACACCAACCTCCCAGGAAGAAGAGCCCAGAGCAACTGGTCCTCTCTTTGACAATAACACTCAGCACCTGCCTCCCTATGAACCCACCCACTGGAAACCCGTGTGCCCTTTTCCACCAGGAAACCACTAGCAAGCACCTGACTGTAACATTCTGGAGCTCAAAGGGAACAGCGGGCTCAAAAGGAGACTGGCATTTCAGAGCTCAGCCTTCACAGCGACCTGCCCCCATCAGGAAGATAAACTGGCAGGTACAGTGTGCAATGGGCACATCCCTGAGTCATTTGGAGTAAAAGGACACGTCCTGTTATTTCCAGCTGTTTCCCTTGCTCCATCTCCAGGAAGAAGACGAGAAAGAGACACTTTAAAAAGTGAAGCCTGGTTTCTGCTAAAGATGCAAACAAATGAAAAAGTCTGAAAAACGGAGATGGCAGACCTCAGCTTGAGGGTTTCTAACCTTTAAACCACTGTTTACAACAGAAATGGGCCTTTACACCCTACTCAGAATATGCTCAACACACCTGCCCGCAGATCTGCCAGGTCTATAAACCAGGGTTGAAATGTCAGAAACAAGTGAGAGAGTCAAAACTGCACATGGGCATCCTCCTTCCTCATTTCTGTTTCCTGGAAACTGATGTCCCGTCACAGTTCTTTATAGAAATCAGAGTCTTGATTTCAGTAGCGGTATGTGAAGTGCCTCCTGGATGTTCTGACTTGTTTCTAGTATCTTAACAGAAAACTCATAGATAATTCTTGGGAGCAAGACCGTCAAGGGGCTCCATGATCGGCCCTGTAATTCCCCCAGTTTCATCCCCTTTCCTTCTTCCTTGAATCACCCATCCTCCCAACACACACACACAGTCTCACACACTCAAACATACAACCACACATTCAGACATACACACACTGTCTCACACACTCAAACACACATGCAGTCTCACACACTCAAACATACAACCACACATATTCAGACATACACACACTGTCTCACACACTCAAACACACAACCTAATGCACTCAAACACACAAACATACATATTCAGACACAAACACACAACCACATGTATTCACACACTCACACACACACCTGTTCCCTGTCACTCCCTGACCAGGCCAGCATCATCCTCTCTTCACCTACACACCTTAATCCAGTCATTTCTGCATCTGCAGGCTCATCTCCTCTGTCCTTCCCACAGTCTGTCCAAAGCCCACACATCTTCAGTGACTAACTTAAGTGACTGACTTACCTCCTTTGGTGGAGGCATCTCAGAACTGCTCTTCCCCAAGTGTAAATGCAATGGCTTTTTTCTAACTTTTGCATTCTTATGGCCTTTTGCAAAACCTGTTTCTGCCATACACTTTGGTTTTAACGTGTGTGTGTGTACCACCATCACTAGAGCCCTCACAAATACAAATCATTCCACTAGCCTCTCTGCACATCCTAGTGCAGGGAGCAGAGCGGAGTATCAGCAAATACACCTGGAAATGCTGAAGAACGTGAAAGAGACTGCACGAGCAGTTAGTTAATGCATGTCAAGAGGAACATCAGGCTACTGCACTGATACCTTACACCGGTTGAGTCACTGCATTAAATCTCCCCACTATCTGTTCACCTGTTTAGTGATAGAAAAGTGAGCAGAGAGGTTAACTGTACTGAAGGGCAGAAAATATTTGCAAATGATATGACTGGATATATAAAATAAAATAGAAAAATATATAAATAGCTCATGCAACTCAAATAATAAGTATCAAATAAAAAATTTAAAAATGGATAGACGGCCTGAATAGACATTTTTCCAAACAAGATACACAGATGGCCAACAAGCACATGGAAAGGTGCTCAGCACGACTAATCATCAGGGAGAAAGAAAGCAAAACCACAATGAAATACCACCTCACACCTGTCAGAATGACTGTCATCAAACAGACCACAAATAACAAAAGTTGGTGAGGACGTGGAGAAAAGGGAATGCTTGTGCACTGTTGGTGGGAATGTAAACTGGTGAAGTCACTATGGAAAACAGTATGGAGTTCCCTTAAAACACTAAAAGTAGAACTACCATATGATCCAACAATTCCACTCTTGGGTATATATCCAAAAGAAATAACAACACTAATTCAAAAAGATACATGCACCCCGAAGTTCATAACATCTCTCTTTACAATAGTCAAAACACAGAAGCAACCTAAATGTCCATCAACGGAGGGATGGATAAAGAAAACATGGTACCTATATACACAATGGAACACAACTCAGTCATAAAAGAAGAATGAAATTTTGCCATCTGCAGCAACATGGACGGACCTGGAAGGTATTATGCTAAGTGAAATAAGTCAGACAGAGAAAGACAAATACTGTATATTGTCACTTACATATGGAATCTAAAAAGCAAAACAATGAATATGAATATTGATTGCAAATGAATATAATGAAACAGAACACACTCACAGATATAGAGAACAAACCAGTGGTTACTGGTGGGGAGAGGAAAGGGGGAGGGGAAAATATGGTTAGGGGATTTATAAATACTAACTACTGTGTATAAATAAATAAATTACAAGCATACACTGTTCAGCACAGGGAATATAGCCAATATTTGATGATAGTTTCAAACGGAGTATACTATAAAGATATTGAATCACTATGTTGTACACCTGAGACTAATACAATATTGCAAGTCAACTACACTTCAGTTAAAAAAGGAGAGGTTAACTGTAGAATAACTGACATCTAAGATGTCAGCTGGAAAGATGCTGGAAAGACAGAAGACAAACATACGGAGAAGCTGGTGGGGCTGAGATGGTTCTCTTCACGTGGGACACCATATCATAGCAGAGACAGGCACAGCACTGCTGCTCTTGTCAGTATCTCCAGCACAGCTACCCAAGAAGTTTCAAAGAAAAGATCCAAGACTGTCCCAGGGCCTCCCACACCACCTATGCCACCCACCATCTGCCACGCTTCTCCCGTTCTCCCTGCCTCTCATCTCACTCACCAGTAAACAGGTGGAGGAAATGGGATGTTTTCCAGTTTGTGTGTTAAAAGCACACCTCCTCAAAGCTACTACAATGAAGCAAACATGTCATCACTATTTGTACTCATTTCAGTGAAGGAAACCCAGTAGGCTGAACGCATTCCAATGGAGGCTAAGGGGCCCCGTCCAGGGTGCTGCAACAGAGATTTCTCACTTAAATAAGGAAAATCTGTCACTCTCTAGGCCGTGTCCTAGGAAAGGGCCCTCAGAGGTCAGCGCCTCCTCTGACACCCACAAGTCTCTTGGTCCATCATACCCTCTGACCCAGTAATTTCATGTCTGGGACTTGATTGTGGAGGAAGAATCCAAAATGTAAATAAAGATGCACAAATATCAATCCTCTTCTTTAGCACAGAAAATCCACAGGAAACATCCATTCAACAAAGTTCTCCTGCTCAGAACCAAAATGTGTTGCCATTTCCTCTTCCAGGGCACCTTCCCGACCCAGGGATCAAACCTTCATCTCCCGCATCTCCTGCATTGGCAGGCAGGTTCTTTACCACTGTGCCACCTAGGTGCTATTCTCCCGCTCAGAGAGGGCCTGTGGACAGTGACTGGAAGGAAGGGGATGGGACTGGGGGCCCAGGAGAGCCCATCACAGCAGGTGTGCACGAGACTTCTTGGGCAGGTGGCGACGCATCAGAGGTGGGCTGGATGAGGTCCTGAAAACTTTGGAAGGTAACAATTCTAGGAGAGGAGGAATCCAGGATGTAGGAGTCAGCTTCACAACCCCACAGACCCAGAGCCAGCAGGTATTCCCTAGAGGCTCCCAGCCTTGCCGCGAGCTTTACACACACGAACCACTTCCTCGATAGGAGCAGAAAAGCGGGCGTCACTTTGGGCTTCGTACCTGGAGGCGGCAGAGTGGGACCCCAGGGAGCCCGACCTTCTGCCCTCCTGCATGTGCCCACACACGGGGGCGGAGACCCCCAGGAGAGCAGTCCAGCTGGCTCTGCACCCGCCTGCCTGTGGCATGGAGACGTATAGACAGACATATCTCACACTGTCCTCTCTCGTCCACATAGGACGTTCTCTCTGCGGCTTCCCTGGTAGCTCAGACAGTAAAGAATCTGCCTGCGATGTAGGAAAGCCAGCTTCGATCCCTGGGTCAGGAAGATCCTCTGGAGAAGAAAATAGCAACCCACTCCAGTATTCTCACCTGGAGAATCCCATGGACAGAGGAGCCTGGCGGGTTAAAGTCCATGGGGTCACAAAGAGTCAGGTATGACTGAGCAACTAAACACCCATCTGACACTGTCTACTCTTGTCCACATAGAACATTCTCTTCTGGGGGTCTAGAGACAAGGATTGAAGGCCAAGTATGCCATTCTAGGGAAGAAATTAATCGATGCTATAAAAATGGGCCCATCCCCTCCTGCAAGCACGATGCTTTGCACAGAAGGCAGGATGGGGGAGGGTGTGGTTTAGAATCTGACGCTGGCGCAGCCTCGCGGTGAAACTTGACCCTTCAGAACTATCACCTTGTCCACCAGGCAAACATTTGCTTTCTGCTGGGCTCAAATCTGTCTTATCAACCTGTTATAAGGAAAAACAAAGAAGCCAGCAGGCAAATTTCCCTGGGAAAGTCCAGAGTCCACCATTCACGCATACATCATTGAATCTTTCAAGGAAACAAAGATGCCCCCCTCTCCAAACATCCATTTACCAGATGCATTTAAACTTTCATTAGAAGGAAAGCAAAAAGAACCAGGAAATGTCTGAAAATAACAACCATAAAGAAAAAGACTGGAAAAGTGGTAGAAATGACTGTTCTACCCGCATCATTTTGTCTGTCATCCAGCACTGGGGCTCGAGGGGTCATGACCCGGCAGGGAGGAGGAAGGATGGCCATAAGTGAGCCCAACCTGGGAGCCCTGGAGCGCGAGGCCGGTAGCTGAGGGGGACACGGCCGCAGCAGCAGAGCAGCGAGCCCGCAGAAGGACGGTGACCACTACAGGCAGGCCCGGCCCGTCTGTCGTAAACACCGGGTCCAAAGGCCACAGGCGCAGACAATACTAAAAGTGAAAATGACAGGCAGGCAGAGGCCACTTGCCAGAACAGGAAGAAGCAACATCGGACCGGTTTCCAATCATTAAATGTACTGACAGCACTCTATTCATCTTTAGCACCTGTTGTTCCTTCCACTCTGGTTCACCACGAATGAGAGAGTTTTGTTTATAAAGATGTGTGTGTACCCAGGTCCGGCCTTCCGCCCGCGGTGAACCAGGCAGAGTTTGTCTCGGGTGCCCTCCCTGCCAGCTGGCCACCGCCGCGGCTGCTCTGTCCCCGCAGGAGTCAGGGCCCCATTCCTGCGGCCAAAACCCCGCTCGGAGCCTCTGCTCATTCTCCTGATCTCGCAACGGTTTCTTCAACACTAGAATGCAAATCACAGTGCTGGACAAGAGGTGAGGGTTTGGAGGAGCTGGGAAATTCAGCCATGCGACTGGCATGCAGGTGAGGGACACAAAACGTCTCTGGAGAGCCAAGGACAGACCTTTCAGTGGTCTGAAACGTGCAAAAACATGGCCATGAAACCCCAGAGGGAGCGGAGCCCATCCCGAATGGCGAGATTTGAAAAGCCCTAGGGAAGAAGGAGAGTGAACTCTGGCCTGAAGACAGAAAGGGCTGGGTGGGATTCTGATCGGCAGAATGGAGGAGAAGCCAAGATATGGGGTTGGGAGGTTCAGGCAGGGTTAGACAGGTGGCAGACCACAAGTTGTTATGAATTCTGGATCCATCAAAACCGGGCTGTTTGAACTCAAGAGAATAAGCCTCTCTGAGGCTCCATTGCTCATCTGCAAAATTAAAATGTGCGCACCACCTAATTACTGAGGACTTTATAAGGGGCAAGCTCTGAGCATGGTGTTAAGGGCATAATTAAATTCAGAATATCTTCCTCAGAGGGTTTATGTTAGGACTGAAGAACAGTGAAGAATTTAGCACAGTATCCAGCAAGGAGCATTTTCAGTCAATAGCTGTTGATGCCGTTCAGGGTGGTGATGAAGTGGCTGGTGGGGGTGGTGATGGAGGTATGAAGTGGGTGGTAATCGAGGGTGAAGTAGCTGGTGGGCCAGGATGCCACATTTAAAATCCTGCATCAGTGATTCATCAACCTCCCAAGAAGCACCTAGATTGGTCCCCAGCTCAGTGGAGCCACAAGATACAGGATTCACTCCATGCATTCACTCCGCCCAGCCCTGCGTCCTCCCAGGACCATCCTCATTGGTGAGAAAACAAGACGGGAACATGCAGAAGTGAGGGGCTGAGTCTGCAGTGAGAGAGAAGGGCTCCCCGTGGGGACCACCTGTCCACCCCAAGGTTCGTGTCACCCAGAGAATCATATCTCCTTTCCTCTCTCTTCTCCCATTCTGCTCAATCTCCATCATTGGCTGCAATAAAAGTTAACATGAGATGTCTCTAATCTTTCTGTCTTCCTGTTCAGCCAAGAAAAACCACTGAAGTTCAGTTCTCAGGGTTGTCCATGTCTTTCCTGTGATGTTTGTGAAGGTAATAAGATACCTCAGGTGCCATCCACCACACATCTTGCTCAAATGTGAGGGTCAGGTGGTCCAATCTCTTTCTCTGGCTTCTATACTCAATGTTTTAAAACCATGGCACAGTATTATATATGATTCTTTCTAGTTTCTCTTCTTTACTTATTTTTGGTAATTTTTATACTTCACTCTATTATCTTACTGTAAATATTCCCAATGATATTTTTAATATTTTCTTCCAGAAAATGTTGCCAACTGGTTTTTTGCTATTCAATTTTCTTATCTATAAAATGTGGACAAAATAGTATCTATCCAGAAGGACCTGAAGCTCAAAGGAGATGAGAATTGTAAAGCATTGTGAATGGCCCCGATCAATAATAAAACCACACAACAAACTAGAGTAAATACTAGCAATACTATATCTCTCTAGACTAACTGTAAATTTCTGAATAAAGAAGCTCAAAAGCTACCTCTTGGCAGCCATCTAACAATAATGGATACAAGCAAGAATCATCAATAGATGTTCAAACCAATGAGATAAAAATCAGATGGGAAAAGAGGATCTTTGCATAGTCTCAAAACACCTCCCCAGGAGGTATTAACACTTAAAAGGGGAAAAACAGTAGCCTTGCTGTGAAGAACTCCTCACCCACTTAAACAGACCATTAATGAGGCAAATTAGCATTCATTGCTTCTGACACAACGTGTGGAGAAGAACACAGCATCTCTTGTGTGGTTGTCCTGCCAAAGATGGACACCTTGAATCAAATCACGAGGACCCATCAGACAAGCCCAAACTGAGGGGCATTTTACACAATTAACTGGTCTCCACTCTTCACAAATCGCTCAGTTGTGTCCAACTCTTTGTGACCCCATGGTCTGTCCATGGGATTCTCCAGGCAAGCCTACTGGAGTGGGTTGCCATGCCTTCCTTCAGGAGAGCTTCCCAACCCAGGGATTGAACCCCAGTCTCCCACACTGCAGGCAGATTCTTCACCATCTCAGCTACCAAGGAAGCCCTCCACTCTTTAAAAATGTGAGAACCATGAAATGTAAAGAGACTGGGGGCATGTTCCTGAATAAAAGACACTGAAGACACACAACAGTCCAATACAAAACTCTGGGTTGGATCTTGCACAATTTTTGTTTTTATTTTTTTGCCATATGGATATTATTGGGATAACTAGCAAGTTCTGAATAAAGTTCGCAGCTTGGATCCCTGCTAACTGCATAATTTTGGTCTGGCATAGTGGGAAGGTCAGCTAAGATCCACATGTTTTGGAATACATGCTATAATTGTCAGTGGGAAAAGGGGTCATGTCTAGATCCTACCACAACTGTTTCAGGAAAAATTAATTTGTGCACATAACAACACGTACATATAAATACAGAAAGAGAAAGAGAGAGCAAATTTGGTAAAATGTACCCAATTGGAAAATCTTGGTGAACTGTATTCAGAAATTCTTGATACTTAACGATTTCATCTCAATACTTATGAGTCTGAAATTGTTTCAAAATTAAAAGTTTTGGACTTTCCTGGTGGTTCAGGGGTTAAGAATCCACCTGCCAAGGCAGGGGACATGGGTTCAGTCCCTGGTCTGGGAAGATTCCACATGCTGCAGAGCAACTAAGCCCGAGCACTACAGCTATTGAACTCACACTCTAGGGCCTACAGGCTCTAACTACTGAGTCCATGTGCCCTAGAGCCTGTGCTCCCCAACAAGAGAAGCCAGCACAATAAGAAGCCGGGACACTGTAACAAAGAGTAACCTCCACTTGCCACAACTAGAGAAAAGTCCAAGCTGCTAGGAAGACCCAGCACAGCCAAAAATAAAAAATAAATAAATAACATCCTGCCTCTGAACAGATACAGAGCAGGCGACATGAGGGATGCAGAGGGCGAAGGAAAGGGGGACAAAATGAGGTGTGTCCCCCATAACTCATCATTCTGTTTTCCTGAACGAACTAACTTAGACGATACGGAGCAGAAGGGTGGGAGGAGAAGCAAACAAAGTCCACCTTTCCCATTGGGCCCCTCTTGGCATTTTAAGAGCTTTAACTCATTTTTGGATATTTCTACCACTTTTCTGTATTTTCTGTGAAGATACGAATATCAACTTCTGTTTCATGTTTAACCAAAGAATTAACTAAAAAAGCAAATTCAACAACAAGGTCCTACTGTATAGCACAAGGAACTCTATTCAATATCCTGTGATAAACCACGTGGAAAAGAATATATACATATAACAGAACAACTTTCACTGAACAGTAGAAATTAACACAAGTAGCCAGGTGGCGCTAGTGGTAAAGAATCGCTTGCTAATGCAGGAGACACAGGTTCGATCCCTAGCTCAGTAAGATCCCCTGGAGAAGGAAATGGCAATCCACTCCAGTATTCTTGCCTGGAAAATCCCACAGACAGAGGAGCCTGGAGGGCAGCAGTATGTGGGGTCCCAAAGAGTCAGACACGACTGAGCACATACATGCACACACACAGATATTAACACATCGTAAATCAACTATATGTCAATAAAGTAAAGTTTAACATAGTAAACACATAAAGGTAAAATAAAAACAAAACTCAGTTCTACGGATATACTTTAATGCTCAGTCTCTATTCTGTACAAGTATGAATATATACATATTTGAAAAAAAAAATGCTGCCCTTCAGGATCTTCCAAGTATTCAAAGCAACTTACAACACATAACTTTGCTACCTGTTCCAGACTCAGTTACTGTGTTGACCAATTGGTATGTTATGACCCCAGAACCATAATTACGTTTATGCCTCTTAAACAAGCTGATGAAAAGAAACATTTGCTTAAGGCTCCCATCAATGAATCCAGAGCTTAGACTAGTCTTTAGCTTACACAAACGTTAAGCTTATTAATTCAGAATATTCATTTAGTTATTGAAACAGGATGACAAAACTGTACAGCGAGAGACTGAGTCCCTGTTACACATATTAGCTTTGCACGAAAACCCGCTATCTCAGGAACTGTCCCAGACTGAGGATTCATATGCCTCTTTGAATTTTTAAACTGTAATTTAGGTATCAAAACCCTATCACCAATGCCTATCAATGCACAGAGAGACTACAAATGATGAAGATAAGTCCACCATGATTAAGAACTATCCAGCTGGATTTCAGCTTAAGAAATTCTGAAACTGCCTATGTGTGGTCCACGCCAACAGTCACAGCATCCTTTAATTGAAAGCCAGTGATATGACTCATACCACCTGTTTCCTTGATCCTGCTCTATTCCTATTTTGGTCAGAGTTCTCTTTGGAGGATTTAAACTTTTATGAAAACAAATAGCAAATATTTATTCAAATTGATTACTATTGTTTCACACCCCAAAAACTACATTTCCTATTATAAAATTACATTCATCTCCATTAATTTTAACAAGCCATGGATTATTCAAAGTGATAATCACAGTGGTAGCTGTAGCTGATGGAAAGGCTGCTAGTTAAAGGAACTGTATATAAAAATATGTACTTCCACAGATGCTTATTATATATATGTGTGTGCATGAATGTGCCCAGTTGTGTATGACTCTTTGCGGCCCCATGGATTGCAGCCTGCCAGGCCCCTCTGTCCATGAAATTCTACAGGCAAGAATACTGGAGTAGTTTGCCCTTTCCTTCTCCAGGGGTTCTTCCCAACTCAGGGATCGAACCTACGTTTCCTGCATCTCTTGCATGGGCAGGCAGATTTTTTACCACTGTGCCACCTGGGAAGCCCTATTATATTTAAATTTGTTATAGACTCATGAAAGTGGCTTTTTAAAAATTTGCTTAATTAGACACATTGCAATGAGATGTTCATGTCCCAGTGAGTGTATCAGACAGAATGAAATATAACAAATGCAGGGAGAGAGGGATGATGAGAGGTAG